ATAGACACGTTCACTTAAACTAGTACAGTCCAAACATGCAGAACAGTAAACTTCGCTATTGCACAAAATGGAGTGATCCATACCTTCAGCTCATCAACTTTATCCATACACTTCCTTAGTTCATGTTTATCAGCTTCTAGTTTTCGTGCAATGGTATCTATCTGCAATGTAACAGCATAAACATACCAAGCATGCATAAGCAACCAACCAATTTGATAATAAGATGACGGAACCTTACCTGACGCTGACGATGTTCATATTCCTCAAGCACATTGTGGTTTAAGAACAGAATGGAATTAGCTTGAGAAATATTATCTTGAATAGCAGCCTCTAGTTCCTCAATTGTAGTAGGCATCTATGCAAAAAATGAAAGACGTCATTCCCAACATAATTTTTTTTTTGTAGTACGAATAACGAATCAAGTAAGGGTAGCCTCATTCCAACAATCTTGCACTGACAATTTTTGAGTTCGCAATTGAGAAAATGGAAGAAAAAGAAAGTTTAAGGGGCTGAGGCCAATCCAAAGATCATTAATGTTTACGAAAGAAAACATGCAAAGGGTGGGAATGGGATCAATAAGAATATGAGGAGCAAATGTATTCATTGAAGCCTTAATCACAAAGAATAGGAAGGGACAAAAGGGTAGTAGCATAAATAGTAGTTGAAGCAGGGTAGGAGGTTATGCTTTTGCTTAAAAATAGAAGTAACTCAGAATTAGGAGAGAGAGGAACTCTCAAATTTCCCTAGACTGCAACTTGCACTCTCTAATTCCAAGAGAGTTCTATCAAGATCCTCCAAAATTCAGATGCTATTCCATCTCCCAACTTGTAAAGAATGTATTTTATATAAAAGGAAATTGGTCTTCGCAGTTTCTCTCCAAGGACTGTTTTGCCCTTCCAGAGGGCTTAGCTTAGAGAATCAACCTTGATCCTCCATACCTGCTTTTAACTGTGATCCTCCAAAGACCGCTTTATTCTTGATTAGATCTGTAAATCCATATAGTGAGGCTAGCGTGCCTGTTTTGTTTTTGTTTTT